TATTAGTAGACTTGTTTTTGCCTAGCACTTGTGTATATATCTTGACTGTCAAACTATAGGTTTTATGAGTCAATCAGTCATTTATGAAGACATTTATTGAAAAGGTGAACTCGCACTTAGCCTCAAGTTTCCCTTACTGGACCATTGAACTCCCAATTTCCTGGCATCTAGCGACATTCCTGGCAACTGCGTGGTAAGGAAAATTACTGAAGTTCTGCTCAGGATGTTGGCATACTTCTAACCTCCAGCAGGTGGGCCGTGGAACCCACCTGTTAGCCAGCAAGACAAATATGGCCAAAAGTTGATGTAAAGCGATCTAATAGCCCAATTCTCTATCGGGAAAAAAATTTTTTACTGACAAATTAAAACGTTTTCATCATTTTTTTTTTTTGTAAAAAACACTGTGACAAGAATTTGTCACTGATACAGAATTTAGCCGTAAAGCTTTCACTCGAGTTGACCGTTCGTCTCTCAAACTAGTAGTCGGGACAATAATCGGGCACTGCTCTATGTAGGAGACCAAACATCAAAATGATAATAAATATAAAATATAAAGAGCATCGAACAATATCTCTGTCAATGTTCCGACCCAGCCACTATGGGCAACCAATTCGTCAACAAGTCCTTTTAGGATTTAAAGTAGTACTTGTTGGCAAGAGTTATTTGGATTTGAAACCAATAAAAATAAATTATCTACTTTTCCCAAATTACAGCTGTCGACAGTGACGTGAGTTTTTTTTTGTTATAGAGCTGAAAAACAGCATTGAAAGCCGATAAGTGTGGGACTTTCCTTTCGGCTCACCGCACTAAAAACCCAACCTTGCTCCGTTTCCCTCCTTCCGTGGAACAACCGCTAGGTATTACTTCGCGTCTTGACGCAATTTTCTTAGGATAGTGCTTGCATGATCAAGCATGATATCCACAAGGTTCCCCACCTTTACCCAAATCATCCCTTTGGGTTGCGAACTGCGGACAGACGAAAAAGCAATGTTCAGCGTCTTCGATTACCTCTCCTGTATAGGAAGTGCAGTACGCGTCGTCTTCGTGCGTAAATCTGCGCAAGTATGATTTAAAGCAGCCGTGTCCGGTTAGTATTTGGCTCAGGTAGAAATCAACCTCTCTATGTATTCTGTCAAGCCATTTGCTTATACTCGGAATAACTCTATATGTCCAGGGTTCGTTAGTTGAGTGGTACCAGCGGTCTTGCCACTGCTGCAAACAATTTCGTCTCACCCTTTCTTTCCCCTGCTTTTCGGATGTTGCAACTGACCTGCTACTACTAACGCTGCCTTCTCTGATGTTGTTCGGAAAGCGCAACATACTCCTAAGGCACAAAGTCGGTACAGTGATCTAGCTTCCTGAGCGTAAGATTTCGTCTTCAGTGCTGTTGACCAAAATGGTGCTCCATACAGCAGAATGCTTCAACAAAGTCAAAAATTAATTATTGAGACTTTTAAACCCAACGCATCATTGCCTAAGCAGTGCAAAGGAATGCGATGGAAGAGCTTAAATATGCGTCTCTATCGCGAGCCAGCAGGGTTTTTTCGCTATTAGTGTTAATGAAATTGCAGCCAGAACCTTCACAAGTAAAACAATTAATCTCGTTTACACAGAGCTTCTTTGCCTGGGCCCTAAGCCCTAGAGAGGCAGCCGCGTTGGAATGACTCAGTTTAGTTTTTATCTGTACAGCGCTAAAAAAAGGCATTAAGGAATAGTAATTGATGATATGAATACAAAATTAGCACACCATCATTTCGGCTGTAGCATTTAACGCCCAGCCACTGGGAATTTCCTTCAGGGTATATGAACATACACATGTGTTGACTCTTAAACCGTTGCTATACGAATGAAAGAGATACAAAAAAAATATGAGCAAAAACTTTCTTCACTTCACCAGCGATAAATATTAGTAACGCCTGAATGCAGGCACATGAATATCAGGTTTTTCCTCCTGTCAGAAATTCTTTAAATAACGTAGCATCTATTTAGGCGGAAACAGAGTCTTTGTGTATGTATGTGAATTTGTACCGACCCTGCAGGGAAATCAGGTAGTGCATGATACAAATTTCTTCGATAGTTGATAAAAAAAAACCCGGCTGGGCTTAGAGGGGAATAATTAAAAGCCATAAATACAAACTTTCACATCATTTACCCACCCCGCCCCTCTAAGAACGGTACGTTTCCAAAGAAATACTAGAATTTGATATTGTTTTTTTTTCAATATGATTCATGCTTTAACAAAAACTATATAAATCACACTATCAAACTTTACACAAAACTTAGATAAATTCCAAAAAATTTTATCTAAATTTCGAGCTTTTGAACCAAAATTTTTAGAAATTTTCGGGGTATGCAGTTAACAAGCTTATAAAATTCTAGTAAAACAAGTGCAAGTTTTGAGCGGCTGTGAAATCACATTGATTTTTAATAAATTTTTTTGTTGACAATTTTTTTAAAATTTTTTGAGTTTTTCTAAACTCTGTATAAAGTTTGCAAGTAAGGCGAGTTAAGCTTGCACCATATTTTTAAAAATAAATAACAAAAAAAAATTTAACCTGAAAAATATTCGAATTATTTAACAAAAACCACCTGCACTCAGTTTAATCCGTCAGTATAGGTACATACATATCTCTCATTTCCTTCAACAATGTCATAATCCAAAAAATAAAAAATTTTAGGTGAGTATGCAGAACTTAGAGCTACATCTTCTTTTATGTTACGCAAAAATTTCATATCTCCATCGATTACCAGTATTTCAGTAGAACAAAATATTTTTTCATCTCAGCTCGCGTTATATTACCACAGCTCGACTCACCTCGGTTTATCTAAACTCAATTCACTTTAACTTAACTCAACTCAATGCAGAATTTCAACCACTGGGCGAACACTAGTGCATATATGTAAATGCTTAATTCAATTTAAGTTTTTTTTTGATTGTCGCCCATCATTCATTGATCAAGGTCACGGTTTCCAATTCCCCTACGAAATTTCACTATGAATTTACCAGCTTTAACGCGTAAATACTTTCATTCACGTAAAAATCAATGCGGTAAAAAAAAAGATAAATATAAAATAAGTTATCTATGGATACACGCCAAGCTAATTGGCTGGCCGAAGGCGCCAATATACATACATACGAAGTTATTAAGCATTTCTAAAACTTTTTAAAGAATTCGAAAATGAGCTAAAGAATACTACTAAAGAGCTGTTTCGTGTTGATATTTAGAAAGATTCACTCTGATAATTATTTGCGGTCTAAATGATAATGCAAAAGTGCTCGTAGATACATACATATGTATGCATAGTATATGTGTATGACCAAAGTGAATTTGGCACAATTTTCAAGCGTTTCGATGTGTTCTTCTATGCGGCAGTTTTGTTTGCAGCGACTAAACAGCAGTGAAAATTATTATTTATTTTTAATTTATTTTTTTTCTCGTTAGTATCTGTATCTGCTGTTATAGTAAGTCTTGCTCATGATGCATTTTTTTTTTTTTTTTGCTTTATGTACAGACATAAAAGTGCAGCAGATTAGAACGCTTATAACTTGCTTGCTTGCTTTCGACGAGTAACAGCAACAACAATTAAAATCAAGCATCGCCTTATTATGAGTAATTGGCCGCACAAAACACGCAGCAAAAAATACCACAAAACACACACAAAATGTCTAGAAAACAATGACGCGCTGTAATGCAACAACGCCAATTTTATATGTATTTGTTGTTTTACATGTTTTAAATGGTCGCGTTGAGAAAGAAGAAGAAGATGATGAATTCGCGAAATGCACAGCTGGTGATTACTTCAAGCGCATAGTTGCATACCGCACAGACTTCGTTGCATCTTTGTTTGCTGCACTGTAAAAAATGTAAGTACAAGTATCTTTTTATTTTCAACCGACTTCGAAAAAAGGAGAAGGTTATCAATTCGTCGGAAAATATTTTTTATTTAGGTTACCGCATAACTTTGGACCACGTTTACCGATTCCTATAATTCTTTTTTTTTTAAGGAAAGGTGGCAACTCCGAGATGGTCCTATACTAATTGGGTTAGAACCGATCACTGGATCATAAAGAAATTAACGGTAGTCTTAAATTTTTATATGAGAATTGAAGTCGGTTTTGTTTTTTAACCGACTTCCAAAAAAGGAGGAGGTTATCAGTTCGTCGGAATATATTTTTTTATGTCTCAGAGGTGGTCCCATACTAATCCGGTTTAGATCCGTTCATTGGATTATGAGATATATATATATATATTTTTATGTGAGAATTGAAGTCGGTTTTGTTTTTTGCTAAAAAATTACATTTTTTTACTAAGAGTTGTGTAAAATATACATATGTATATAGGTACGCTAATGATTAGAAATACGATTAGGATTACGATTTCTATTACGGTAACGATAATGATTACGATTATGATTATAATTATGATGATAAAGATGAAGATTATGAATATAATTATGATTATTGATTATCATTATGATTATGCTTATTATTATGATTATGAATACGATTTTGATTATGATGATGATTATAATTAAAAAATTTAGCCCTTAGTATTTTTCCAAGTGTACAAATGACTTTGCGTGTTTCGCTGCAGCTTAGTCTTCTTCAATTTTCCAACAACGAACGCGAACATTTAGCAGTATTTTAAATCTTACAGCTCCTAATATCTATTCACAAATTTTCCTTTTCGCCGTAGACATGAAAAGATGCAATTTGTAAATGCCATGAAAACCTTAAGTGGGGTATAAAACAGTTTCACAATCTGTAGAGCATATCAGTTGCATTTCCAGCGCCACCTTTGGCGGTGATGGCATTTTAATCATAAAAAAAGAGCAAAAAAAAACGACAAACTCAACGCACTCTAATCATATCTCGCGCAAATCCTAAACGAAGTACAAGGATTCTACAAGGATATACCGAGCAGACACTGCATCATCAATTTGTTTTCCATGTGTATTCATAAGGCGTCACACGAAGCCTACCAAAGATACGCACAATCATGTTAGGCTACTCTTTCTGGCTGCTAGCCACACTGGCTATCCTTTCGTGTACCTTCCGCAATGTGACGACGCGTACGGCTACCGGTTCGACGGCACAGCAACTAACCGCGGCACAGGCCAAAGATGGTGGTGGTGGAGGTAGCGGTGAAAGTGCACACGCAGGCGGTCTCTCGGGCGTGGCTAGCTCGGGTGCCTTCTGGGGTGAACTCTCGCAAGCCTATCGTATTTACAAGCAATGCGCGCAAGATAATCTCTCGGTGTGTTTGAAGGTGAAGTTGCTGACGGGATTGCAGCGTGTGATGCGTGCATCGAAGGTTCTTAAGCTGATGGACGGCGTGCAGTTTGTGAAAAGTGACGATGAAGTGACGAATGGCAGCGCACCGAAAACATTGAGTTTCACCAGCGAGAAGGAGCTCGAGGCGGTTTTACCGCGCGGTGAAGCTGCGAAGGAGCAGGTGCTGCACAGTATGATTGCGCGTGAATTTTCTAATTTATTGCAGAATTTCACGTTGCAGGTATGAAATGCATTTAGATTTTTTTTTTTTTAAGAAAGATATAATGCGCGGTAATAACCCTTCTAGGTTAAATTTCCCTACATGCGCGGCACTGCGGAACACACTGATGCAGATATTACGGAAGGACGCAAGAAGAAGGATAAGAAAGGCGGTGGCGGTGCTTATATAATGATACCACTGCTGCTTGGCGGCACCTTCATACCGATTGCATATGGCGCTCTAGCCATGCTGGCCGGTAAGGCGCTTATCGTTTCCAAGTTGGCGCTCGTGTTGGCCTCCATTATTGGCATTAAAAAGCTACTAAGTGGCCACAGCAAGGAATCACACGAAGTGGTTGTCTCATCGGGCGGCCATTCTGATTGGGGGCGTGACATGGATCTGGCGTACAATGGCTGGAAGCCCGGCAAAGAAAACGTGAAGACGATGTAAACGAGTTGATTGGCAAATGATTTGTAACAAACCTATGAATGCAATGGCAGCAGGACCAAAGATGTTGACGATAAAAACTAGTTATATATTAAGTACAGTTATCTATTTATTTATTATTTGTTTATATATATATATATATATGTCATGTTAAGTTCAAAGTAAGCAGCAATTAGATGTGTGTGTCTTAAGTTTTCGCATTAGTACTTTAGTTTAAATCAGTACTTACATGCATATACATACGTATTTAGCTAAGTAAATATTGATAATATAAAACAGAAGTTGTTTTCAAAAAGCTTAATCTACCGTTGTTTTAGTTGTGCCTATCGTTAATCTACATAAATAATACGCGAAGAGGCTTTTTGTCCAAGTCATCAGTTCGGATTTAATAGATTTTCAACAAATTTACAAATTTCTTATATGGATTCTAAGCAAGGGTCGTACCGAGCTTGGTAAGGATTGATGAAGCGACTACTAAGATACAGTATTTCGTCTTAAGTGTGCGGGGTCACACCCCTTTCCAAAAATTTCAAAATAATATTATTTTGCACACTGATATCATAGTTTTTGCATTTTTCGAAAATACCATTATACCATTTTCAATAGCAACCTACCTTGGGTATTGGGCAAACTGAAAACACGCATGAAATAAAATCAGAAAATTTCATTTTCTATGGCATCCTAATGTACATATGTGCATAGGATTATGCATATTATTCAGTGTTTAGCCCTTCGGCGTAAACCTCTAGTAATTACCAGTTAGAAATAAGTCAGAAGATTTTTTGGAACAAAGCTCATTCTGATATTATTGCAACAAAAGGATGCACTATTCTTTGCTGTAAGCTGTTGAATTTCTTCTTGGGTATTAACTTTTGCTTGCTTCCGGCTTATTAACAAGTGCGTTGTTGAAATTGTCTAACGTCAAGGGACTGATGCAAATTTATTGCCACCAACTATTGGACCCTTCCGTATGTGAGCAACAGTGTGTCTGCACCCACATAAGTAAATATGAGTAAAGAGATATACATACATACGTAGTCCGTAGGACATATAAATGTGTATTTATTCGTCCATACATACTCAATACATACATACGTTCATTAGAGTGGTCCTTCCAAAATATTTCTTCTTGCCAGAAGAGGTGCTGGTACCAAAATATATTTCTAAATATAAATTTGGAGGATGCTCATGATGCTCATATTTTATTCTAGAAGTATTGTGTATATATGTATATTAATAAAACAATTGGTTAAGCAACCTAAGAACATTGCAAATTTAAATTTTCTAAAAAATATTACAAGCTTCAGTTGTCATGGCAGTAGTTTTTTATAAAAACAAAAATATTTTTGCCAGTATCGCAGCGATCCATTAGCGCATTTTAACCCTGTCATTGGGAACCCTGTATTGATTAAAGTAGAAAATCGAATGTTGGTATATTTAAAGGAAAAAAACTAATTGTGTACCCCGTGTTGAAGGATGAAATTTTTTCCCATACAGAAAATTGGTACACTCTAATGTGCATACGTGCACGTTACTAAAAGCCTCTCGATATCAAACGTATAAGTATACGTATATCCATAGGTACGTATGATTTGAATCACTTGTCATTTATGCATAGCACGTTCTGAACCANGCGTTACTAAAAGCCTCTCGATATCAAACGTATAAGTATACGTATGATTTGAATCACTTGTCATTTATGCATAGCACGTTCTGAACCACAGAAATGTTTACCGACTTCGGTTAGAGGAGACACGTGAGAGTGGTTTGAGTAGACAAGCGCCAACTCAGATAATTTAAAATTGAAATGCTTCCGTGCAAAACAATGAGAGTAAGAGAAAGTGAATAGAGTAATGCATTAAATGAAACAATTGCGCTTAAATTCCAACAGTAAGAGTTATGGGAATATTAGAAGTATCAACTCATTTGGTGTGTAAGAAGATACTTATATGCTTGTAAATATACGGATGTAGTACATATACATAAACGCAACTATTTAAAGAGGTTTGACTAGTTATTCTCTGTAGTTTGCCAAATTACTAACGAATCCAGTGAATATTTCTGTTTTCGGAGTCGCTTACCAAGATCTGGACCGACTGTGTTAACTTTCTAGAAATGTTACGCCTTAAAATCGTGTCACATATAAATATGAAAGTTACAAAGACTACACGAGAGCTGTGATGAGATGTCTTAAAAGCTTTTTTTATGGGAACCGGCGCGGTTTAATATATTCTTATATTATTATTATCGTTGATTAGGTTGCCCTCATACTACGAGGGAAGGCTGAAAAAAATTGAGAGTAAGTACTTGCAACCCCATTACGCTTTCAGTAATTTAGCTGTCACATTGATGTACAGACCTTTCATCAAAATCCTCACAAAGAAGAAGACAATTCCGACGGAAATATTTGAAGAGATGTCTACAGTGTATGGGTAGTCTAGACCAGTGCTCGTCAAACTTTTGAGTGTGACGGACCGGCTGCAGTTTTTCTATTACGTCGGGGACCGGTACCTTTTTTTATTGATTATTTTTCGTTTACGATCATCTCACATATGTATTAAAATTTGTTTAAATGAATTTCTTTATTAGCCGGGTGTCTATATATGACCCGTTACCATTTAATGATAGCAGATATTAGCGATTTTTTATGAATGTTTAACAAATTTAAGTTGTTTTTATTATACAAGTTGTATATAGCCTCATTAAACAGTAATATAAAACATCAAAAAATCGTTGTCCATTTCGCGACGCCCTTTGCGGACCGGCGACTTATTGCTTACGGACCGGCACCGGTCCGCGGACCACCACTTTGACGAGCACTGGTCTAGACCATTATTTGCCACCACCAAACGTTGGAGCCGAAAATTAAAGCGTTCAAACAATCTGTTAGCATTATTTTTTGGGATTGTGAACGTATTCTGTTCATCGAATATATAAAAAAAAAAACTACAATGCCCGGAGGTTAGGTTAGGTTAGAGTGGCTGTCCCCGCGCTGGGCACGGAGCACATGTAGGCTGGAAAAGTCCGCCATTGATTTTTTCCCTCCCTTCTTAATTGAACCACCGAGTGTGTTTATATAGCACAAAAAGTCGAGGACGTTCACCGAATTCAAGTCGACAAAATAATCTAGAAAGTACTTTTTGAAGAATTTGTTGCGCGTAATGGCCAGGGCGTGACAATGGTATTTACCTCCTCGATCAGTTCAGCCTTAAGACCGTATTTTCAGGAGGTTAGAGGTGTACATTATTAGAAGAATTGAATGCCGTTATACGGCCGGCCGGACAGTTTCTCAAAATTAAATATTTCAATTAAAATACACTTTGTTAAATTTCGAAAAAAGTTTTTAGTAAAATGATTGAAATAAATACTCAAACTAAATCCAACAGCTATTTTTTTGTTTAAATGTACCTTGAACGGAAACAATAACCTTATGGGATTAGCTGACCATATAAAAAGTCACATAGAATAGCCAGTTTTAAGAGGTTTGCCTTTGGCCTTTTTTTTATTATAATAGTGAAAGCTTCTTTTAAAGAAAACTGTAAAAATCAACAGCTTTAGCGTAACCCAAATTAAATATTATTTTGATGAGCAAGATGGGCACGGGTTGGTTTTTAGAAATTTATTTACTTTGGACTTGGTATGCGGCCGCCGGATATAGCTCGCCATATATTCGGTATCCGATCTAATCACTATCCACTAAATCTCTAGTATGTACACATATACAAAGGATTTACGAGTATCAAAACCGTATCTATAAATATAAATTATCTACATACATACATGAAATAAATCTTACGGAAAACTTAGAGGCTCGCTTAAGAAAAACATCCACCACGGAGAAACGGAAAGCTTTGCATTTGGCAGGCAGGTGAAGGCGTCTGGCACAGAAATTGACTACTTTAAGGCGGAATCGCTACCGACCGCAGTTGAGCTACCGCTGCAGAAGGTAAAACAAATTAATATGCGAATACGTTAAACAATTTCAATTTATGTACATACAAATGTATGTATGTACGAGTACATATTTGCTTTGCATTTCGGAAACTGAAATTTTCACTTTTGACTCACTGATGAAATTAATAATGAGGTGTGGCGTTGGCAAATGTTTACCGATTAACACCAAAGCCAACTCCCGGCAACCAATGGCAACCCAGCCAGCAAAAAATCTGAAAATGGATCCGGAAATGAAAAAAAGTGTATGAAGTGCGAATTTTGACGATCCGTTTTTGCTCTAAAGCGTACGGCAAAACGTATGTACAGAAAAGGTTGAAATTAAATGCTGAAAATGGTTGTAAAAGGGATATGTTTTTGGCTATTTTCTGATTAAAATTTTTCCTTTAATACGCTTTCCTTCTACACTTCACAAATGCAAATAGTATCCTTTGTTTTATTTAACCATTTTTTAATACTAATGATTTTTTATTGGTCCCAAATTGAATTTTTTGGTAATTTTGGCGGAGCTATAAAGTAAAAGAAATGTCTCAAAATTTTATGAAAATAAATAATATTATTTTATATTTTCAAAACAATAATAGCATAGAATTAAAAGAGAGTTATATTAATCAAAGCGACTTCATGTAAGGTGGTATTACAATGCCGCTGGATTTTCGCGTCGGTGGTTCTTAGAGGCCTACTCTGCGCTGGTAACATAACTTTTGTAACCGTTAAATAAAGTGTCTGTCCATTTGTATACCCTTTTCGCATTCCGTGCACTCTTGTAACTGGTAAATTTGGTTAGCATCTCATAAGTTGGTAAAAAAAAATTTCCCCATGAAATATGCAATACAATAATTTATTCTAATTTTCCTAGCTGAATTTTTCACTGCATTACCAACGTACGTAGAATTGCAGTGGCAATAAGTGGTAAAATGTTTGGTAATAAAATTTTTCGTTTGCGAAATTATCGCGAAAGTGCAGAATAGACCTGCTAATGACAAAACCTATACATAAAACTGGGCCCGAATTACGGCATCCGTGATTGAATGAAACTCGACTCGAATGGAATGAAATGAAATGACTGCTGTTTTCTCTAAAATACAATTTAAACTGGAAAAGGGAGATAATATTTTTTTTTTTTTGTAGTGCGCATTTCTAACCACTCTGCCATATATTGAATGGTATGTTTAGTTTCTTGTTTCTGTGCGAACAATATGTAACACTCAAAGTCAAATGTTGAAATTAGCTACGCTTAATTATAGCAAAAAGCTACTGAATGAAGCTGCAACAAGTAAATAGCTGCAATTGTGTACAAATACATACATTACTCGACATACATATAGATATGTACATACTTACGAATTTGCATGCGAGCAAATAATTGTCAATATTTAATAACACAAATGATAAGCAGACACTTTCTTCCAACTACAAAGTAAAATGTACATACATATGTATGTATGAATGTATGTACACATCGTAGTATGTATGTATGTATGTAGTTGCAAATGTCGGCAATTTCATTGTTGCCAGTAAAAGTGTTGGCAAGAAAGCAAACTTAGATAGCTAAGTAGCAAATAAATTTGATGCGTTAAGACGTTGACAACATTAACAAATCGAAACGTTAAGAGTCGCCACCACAAAACGCAGCGGACATTCCAGCAGACCGGATAAAACGCACGCGTGAACTTGGCAGCAGCAGCAGCCGCCGTTGCGAATGCGGCAGTGTAAAAACTAAGTGAAACTTTTTCTTTCTATAGTTATGTAGTTAGCTTGTTGCTTCGAACGCGATAATTTTCTAACTTACTCTAATTTGATTGCCACACACGCCTTCAAGTAAATGTGTATCTACATATGTATTTATTATTGTCTGAGTAGCGAAAATAATAGATAATTATGTATGTAAATATTTGTGCATATATACACAAATATATGTATAAAAAATGTGTTTAATTATGATGAATGGAAATCTATTGTTAAAATTACTTGCCTTAAAAGCTAATTAAACCTTACCTAACTTTAACGGTACTAGCCTATTAAACATGACCTATCCTAAGTTTGCTTAAATATACCAACTAACCCGCTGTGCAAAATTTCATTGATCTGCGAGACCTCCTACTACTTTTGGTCACTCTCTATATGGGGGCGTTACACTGCGTGCCGCAAAGAGAGCATAAGCGTAAGGCGTAGAAAGGGGTATTGTCTCCAGCTATCTAAATAAAATATGGGCCAGCGTCATTGGCGTCGGGTTAAGATATTTGTACAAAGTCTCCTATACACTTATACATATCGTCAAATTAATAGAAACGCGAAATTCTAAATACATAGTTTTAATACAATTTTAGTATAATTAAATACAAGTGTTAAGTTGCTCAAAAATTACGTTGTTTTTTGATAACTTTTTGTTTACTTTGTAAGGCTTTTCCATCCATAAACAGCAAGTACATAACGAGCCCTAACCACCGAAAAGACATAACCGACATATTTTTAAAAATTTTATTTTTGATGCAGAAATACATCGAGAGGCTCTAGAAATATTTCTGCATCAAAAAAGAAGATTTCTAAAAAATTTCGCTTACGTCTTTGATGGTTAGGTACTTTATAAGTATATATCTATATCTAGCAAGGTGTCAAATTTCATTGCGGAGAAGGCTAGCTAGTAAATATTTTATTTTTTTTTTCGGAAGCTTTTTCTTTGAAGCGACAAACCCTTAGAAATTAGCCTGGAAATTTTAGGACTTAAGTTAACAAAACGTAGACTGTATCGTGGATATCGGTAGAATGACAATTCGCTAACTACCTTTGTTCCGCAACTTTTTTTTTTGTAAGAGAAGAAAGTTTTGTTTTTGAAGTTATTGCAAATGCATGTTCAAACAAAGCGATCTCTGGCAAGGAGCTATGGAAGATAGGCGCACACCCTCATGCCTGATTTGGGAAAGGGGAGAGAGCGGGAAAGCCGATCTCAATCTATTCACATCTTCCTCTAGAAATGCTGCCATTAATCTTTTCATAATTAATGTATATATTTTTCGGCAAGCAGTTTTGTCACTTAAAATCAAACATAGAGTTTCTCCAGGCACGAATTCGTTAAGTGTGCTTGCCCACTCTTTGAAAAAGAGAGTATATATGTATATATGTAAACATAAGGAAGAGTGGTAACATTTTTGTTTAACTCTCAGCAAAATGCCAATTCAAAGCTCCACTTTAGTTGACATACATATATATGCAACAACGACAAAACCCCACATCTCTACACAGGCCAACTGAGAGTTCGCGCCAACAAACGATCGCGGGAGTGAGTTGAGCAAATGGGAGTGTTGAGTTGTTGCAATGTCATTGTCAATGGCAGCGACTGCTAAAGAGTCACTAAAGTGGATTCACTAACAGCGACAAGAAGAATAACAACTGCTAAAATGCCAGCAAATGGTACTGTTACTGCAGAAGAGCTAACTACACAGGCCGCAGCTGATTTGTATTCTAAGCGCGGTTGTTGCCTCACAAATGCAAAGCTGTGTGTTACTGTGTTACGCATAGAGAATTTTGCCGGATGGTCGGTGGTGGTTGGTGGTAGTGTTTTGGTCTATTTATACATACATACATACATACGCTACAGAGGTACACTAGAACAGTGCTCGTCAAACTTTTGAGTGTGACGGACCGGCTGCAGTTTTTCTATTACGTCGGGGACCGGTACCTTTTTTTATTGATTATTTTTCGTTTACGATCATCTCATATATGTATTAAAATTTGTTTAAATGAATTTCTTTATTAGCCGGGTGTCTATATATGACCTATTACCATTTAATGATAGCAGATATTAGCGATTTTTTATGAATGTTTAACAAATTTAAGTTGTTTTTATTATACAAGTTGTATATAGCCTCATTAAACAGTAATATAAAACATCAAAAAATCGTTGTCCATTTCGCGACGCCCTTTGCGGACCGGCGACTTATGGCTTACGGACCGGCACCGGTCCGCGGACCACCACTTTGACGAGCACTGCACTAGAAGACCAACAGCTACTGAGCTGCAACATTTACACGATTTTTCAATAAACTACTCCATCAAGAACAACAACAACAACAAATGATCGCAAATTAAGTGGCTTTCTCACCGCGATTACGTTAAACTCACTTCAATTGAATGCAATTCAATGTGACTTACAAGTAAGTAAAATGAGTAAGAAATGTATGTGTGTATATACATAAATTTATGCGTACGCATACGTATGTGACATATGTACAACAACGATGAGATTTACATACATATGTACATATAAGTGTTTGTGTATTTCACTGCGCATTTGTTTGAGCGCCGGGAATAAAACTCGATCCACATGAGCCTCCCAGTCACAGTTTACCGGTTGCCTTCTGACCGACCGATTGATCGCTTAGCTGAGAAAAATAAAATTTCAATAAATTCTCATTTGACTAAGTAGCAGTGGATTACCAGGATAAATAGTTAAGAGGATTATAACTGAGAGACGACAACAGCAGGAGGGACAGACGTGTCGTTAAGTGCGCATTTAATTAAAAATCAAAGAAAAAAAAACTATTAAAAAAAATTGTGAAAATGTTTAAGTTTGTGTGTTTATTTGCCTTGGTGGCGACCAGTGCCGCCTCCAGCGCCAAGCAAGTCTCCGAGACAGATAGCCTCCTGACTAGCGCCCTTAAAATGGTCAAGGAGTGTGGTGATCGTTCAATGGTTTTATGTATGAAGGTAAGAAAAAAAAACCGAAAGAGCACACAAATAACTATAAAAGACAAAACAGTGGCTCTAAAGTGTGAAATGTGTATTACGTACGTACAAATCAAATCAAGGTGTTTTTAAAGCTGAATGGATTTAGGTAAAGTTATGCATTTAAATGTTATCATGCAGGGAATAATAGCGAAGAATGCAGCGATAGTGAATATGTGAAATGATAATGAAATAAAAAATATCCTACTAAAGGAAAATGAGATAAACAAACCCTACTTTTGTTTAGCGAGAGAATGAGAACTTGAGAATGGGAATCCTGGGGCCGGTGTGTATGGACCTAGATTAAAAAAAAAACATCCTGACTGTCATATACCCAACCATATTCCGGGCGGAAATTTTCGCAACTGAAGTCTGTGTCCACGAATGTTTTCGCAGAAGTACTAATGGAGCAACAAAATCAAATATCCAGGTAGCGTTAAGAGGGCTTGACTCCTGCAAAACAGTGTCAAAGGTAGTAGATAGTTGCAAAAAAATACTGGTAAAACTAGGAGCCAATAACTGAGTAACCTTGCGATGGGTTCTGGGCCATAAAGGCCTCGATGACAATGTAAGCGATGACACTCTAACGAAATTCGGTGTCCAACGGAGCCCGGTCGGCCCGGTCAGCCTTTATTTGGTCTATCCAGAGACCACACACAACAGAGTTACTAAAGGGATGGGAGGACTTGCAAGTTACAACTCAATGGCGCACAACAAAGGACAAAAGGCAGTCCAAAAGATTCATAAATCCTTTTGGTGGAATCTCTGAGCGGCTACTAAAACTTAGCAGAGAGGGTTTCAGAACTCTAACCGGATACTTGACAGAACATTGCAGACTGAGGAGACGAACTGCGGAATTAAACATCACACCAAATTTTAGTTAATTATTGTGAAACTCATTGTGGACCATATTAATTTTATGCAGAAATTATGCTTCTATCCCGATAACATTCTTTACTTTCCGCAAAACTCGTTTCTGTAAACGACTACTATTACAATAGACAAACCAATTAGTTATAAAAAAGTTGAGACTTACCATGACCTTTGACTTATAGCAGTTAGTATTTTATTAATCCACCTACAAACTAAATTCCCCGATTTTGGGGGGAAAGGGGAATAGCTTTAAATTTTGAGGGAATTCAATAAACAAACGGTTTTCATTACAACATTCCTATTGAGAATAAAATTAGAACTTATAACGGTGTTGTGGATTTAAAACCTAACGTAAATAATTGCCTGGTACAACCGTATCGTACCGATATTAAAGAAATTACATCCGTGCATATCGACTCTTTTGACTTGAAGAAAGAAGGGAAAATTCTACGTTCAGATAAAATATCATATGTGGGGTTCATTTGACCGTCAGGGATATACGAATCGTCAAGCTTCCTATTCAATATGTTTTTCACCAAATTTACTAATCGTTGTTGGGTAAATTTGGTGTAAAAAAGTATTGAATAAGAAGATTGACGCTTCTTTTCCGTTCATTCTGAATTCGAGATAAAAAAAAACTTATAATATAAAAACTAGGGCTGTGCGATTATTCGATTACTCGAGCAAGTTGGTTAATCAATTATTCGGTTAATCAATTAGTCGAGTAATCAAGATTTTGATTACTCAAAACGATGATTAATCGAGTTACTTGAAATATGATTACTCAAAAAAAAATAAGTTTGCTCGTTAAAAGAGTTTACTTTGGAAAATGCTTATTTTCTTTTTTACATTCTGTATATGAAAAAATGTTTCGTTTTCATTTTTGAAAACATAAACGTTGTTTTCAAAGCATCAAGGAACTTTAACTACTTTATACATATGTAAAGAGTTGAAATGTTGATTACTCATTTTACTCGAAATGTTGATTAATCATAAAGCAAATTACTCAAATATTTTTGTTTTTGGTTAATCAAAAATCTTGATTACTCGAGTAACTGAACTTTTGAGTAATCATAATTTCCAATTAATCGAATAATTGAGTTATTTACTTTATGATTAATTAAAATTTTGAGTAATCAATTAATCGCACAGCCCTAATAAAAACCGTAAATGATGGAATAAAGAAAGACTAAACTTTGTTGTTTTATGCCGAATGATAAAAAGATAAAGTATTTATTTTAGAAAAGTTTTCAAATTCACAGGTAAACGAAAATTCCAACATTTCCGCACATTTCTATTTAAAAAAAAATCAAAAATAACTGGTAATTTCATGTTATGTTGTTTTTGTAACTCGTGTTTATAAAAGTCAAATTTATACCTTTTATGTTTAACTTTTTCTTCAATCTTATTCAAAAAATTCCACCAAACCCCGTTATTCCATTGTAAATAGATGTCTTAAAAATGCCAAAAATTAGTATTTTGTCATTTAAGTCGAAATATCTCAAAAACTGGAGCCAGTCTAATATTTCTAATTGCACATTCTGATTCTAGGAAAAAATCCTATAAGAATCAGGGTTCACATTCTGTGCCGAAAGCACTTTTGGAAATTTTGTTCGCCATATATGTATGTATGTATATTAGTTAAAAAAACTGTTCTTATTATCTCATTATAATTGTTGACATTTGTTGTTTTTTTTAATAAAACATATTTTGAATGAAAGGTATTTTTGGGGAATACCATTGAAAATAGGAGAATGTATGTCAGGAATTTGGGGGAATTAGCCTTAATAGAGTTGGCATCCCTGCAGCCGTACTCCAGCATTCACTATCGCTAATTTTTATCGCTAAAAATCTCCAAAATAATAGCAGATGCGCCTAACAACCTGCAACATCTAGTTACATGGCCCTCATACTGCCAGATTTGGCTGATTACACTTTGATTCTGTTACTTTTGCATGTTCTGTACTTTAAGGCCCCACAGCTTTCAATTTAGAGAGTTTTAGCGATGGAAATTCTCTCCTGGTTGCAACTTAATATTTCAGCACTCAATACTACATACATATGTACGTACTACAACCTAATCCAAATATCTTTTCCTCCCTTCCCAGGAACGTGCATTGCACTACTTCGATAATGAAAATGGTGACGTCAAATTGACGGAAGGCATTTCGCTGATAAAAACCGATGACATCCCAGTTGGACGTTCGCTAAGTGATGCCACCTTGCCCGAAGAACCAGAAGCGCGCGAAAATGAGGTCGACGCTTTGTTGGTGGAGCGTGTGGCGAGATTCTTCGGCACACATACACTGCAATTTAAAGTGCCCAAAGACTCAATTCAGGATATGCAACGTGCGCTAGAAGAATGTAAGTACATACTATTTAAACATACATATCGTCACCTGAAATGCAAAAAGATGTAAATAACTTATAAAAAATTAAAAATTCGCTTTTTGATTGACATGATGGATTTCATTGAATTATAACTGCCACATCATTTTATAAAAAAAAAAAAAAAAATATTTTGCATTTCAAGGTGACGATAGACATGTATGTATATATAAAGAGATACAAATGTAAATGCAATGCCTACAAAGTAAATTATNTACATATATATCGTCACCTGAAATGCAAAAAGATGTAAATAACTTATAAAAAATTAAAAATTCGCTTTTTGATTGACATGATGGATTTCATTGAATTAGAACTCCCACATCATTTTATAAAAAAAAAAAAAATATTTTGCATTTCAGGTGACGATAAACATACCCATGTATGTACATATATATAAAGAGATACAAATGTAAATGCAATGCCTACAAAGTAAATTATTATTGTCTTGGGAAAAGTGGAAGGAACATTTTTCAGAGAAAACTAAAAAGTGATTCAGACACAGCAGATGTGCAGCTTTTGAGTTTACGTTAAATAAATCACTCGTGATAAAACAAAAAAAAAGCAACGTCGCTGCTATCATCAAGCTGTTATCACAATCTCAAACGCGATGTCAATATGTCTGTACAGCCCCACGTGCATTCGTACATATTTGTCGCTTGCATACGGATGCAATTTAATTTTATGTGGGTTATGTGGTTGCATGCAACAAGTCTCGAGGCGATCGTGCTGCAAAAAAAAAATCCTGTTTTCANGTTGCACTACTTCGACAATGAAAATGGTGATGTCAAATTGACCGAAGGCATTTCGCTGATAAAAACCGATGACATCCCAGTTGGACGTTCGCTAAGTGATGCCGCCTTGCCCGAAGAACCAGAAGCGCGCGAAAATGAGGTCGACGCTTTGTTGGTGGAGCGTGTGGCGAGATTCTTCGGCACACATACACTGCAATTTAAAGTGCCCAAAGACTCAATTCAGGATATGCAACGTGCGCTAGAAGAATGTAAGTACATACTATTTAAACATACATATCGTCACCTGAAATGCAAAAAGATGTAAATAACTTATAAAAAATTAAAAATTCGCTTTTTGATTGACATGATGGATTTCATTGAATTAGAACTCCCACATCATTTTATAAAAAAAAAAAAAATATTTTGCATTTCAGGTGACGATAAACATACCCATGTATGTACATATATATAAAGAGATACAAATGTAAATGCAATGCCTACAAAGTAAATTATTATTGTCTTGGGAAAAGTGGAAGGAACATTTTTCAGAGAAAACTAAAAAGTGATTCAGATACAGCAGAGGTGCAGCTTTTCAGTTTACGTTAAATAAATCACTCGTGATAAAACAAAAAAAAAGCAACGTCGCTGCTATCATCAAGCTGTTATCACAGTCTCAAACGCGATGTCAATATGTCTGTACAGCCCCACGTGCATTCGTACATATTTGTCGCTTGCATACGGATGCAATTTAATTTTATGTGGGTTATGTGGTTGCATGCAACAAGTCTCGAGGCGATCGTGCTGCAAAAAAAANACGCGATGTCAATATGTCTGTACAGCCCCACGTGCATTCGTACATATTTGTCGCTTGCATACGGATGCAATTTAATTTTATGTGGGTTATGTGGTTGCATGCAACAAGTCTCGAGGCGATCGTGCTGCAAAAAAAAAATCCTGTTTTCACTACTTAATGTCACAATTGACTGCATTTCGCTTCATATATGTATATACACATATATTCATGAACATGTGATAGTTTTTATGCGGATTTTGAGGTCACCAAACCGGTGTCACAAAACAGGCTATTTGTTTTGCTCTTGAAAATACAACGGTGTATTTTTAATCACATAAAATACGTACATGACTGCGTACATGGTTTTCTTCCTGCTCTAAATTGTGTTATAAGTTATTAAATTAAGCTGAAATATATACATACATACATATGTACATATGTGCCTGTATGCAGCAGTGATAGTGTCAGTGTTGTCACGAACAAATTGTTTTTCCTACCAAGATTAACCAAAACCTATCAAAAGTGTTTGAGGTTTTTAAATTGTTTATCCAATGCCAAGTTTATTAAAAATTTAGATAGCATAACATTTAGTAAAATTAAAACACAGCTAATACAACAAAAACCACTTGACTACGTATGTTACGTGGGCAGTCACATAGAATATGTTCTGGGGTTTCCTCCACCAGCTCACAAAACGCTATGGACCATGCAAGTGCATTTGGTCTTCAGGCTTTGGAGACAGTCAGCCCTTTTGTTGCCTTCAAGCCCTTCATGTCCCGGAACACACCATAGCATTACGCTATTATGGGGCTCCAGGTGGTTCAAAAGAGTTTTTAAGATGCCAGCAAGCCTGATGCTGATTTAAAAGAGTCTAACTATCCGACATTTTATTTATTTTGGTCCCATTTGTCATTCTACATAGACCTCTCCGACATTTTATTTATTTTGGTCCCATTTGTCATTCTACATAGACCTCGATTGCGAAGACTGCAGCCTGGAATATAGTTAGATATGTGGAAATTGGCAGACTTTTCCAAATCTCGGTCCAAAGACGTACACCCGAGTAACACGCTTTACTGTTCGTATTGCATACAAAAAATCTTTGCGCATTTTCATATGTCCACTCANACGTACACCCGAGTAACACGCTTTACTGTTCGTATTGCATACAAAAAATCTTTGCGCATTTTCATATGTCCACTCATATTTCGTATTTATCCATCGATTTTCTTCATCAGTAGCTTGATTTTTTTTTTTTTTTGTAGCAGAACAGGCTTTAGTACAAATGCAAAAATTTGGCGCAGAACCTGTTATTTTTTAAATTTTTCTTCTATTTTTCATTAAAAAATAAAAAAAGCTGGAATGCTTAATTAATTTGGCAGAAACTATTCGCCCTATTGGAAAGTGATGTATATACGGTTTATGGAGAATTCCATTGGCTTTCATTTGCCGTATTTGATATTAAGATTTTTAAATTGGTTCGTAAGATATATGTGATTAAAAGGAACCAATTTTTGCTTTAAGCTGAATAACGGTAAATTGCAAATATCTCGAAAACGTATCCATAGAAAAAAATTAACTCGATTTTCGGAATCACCGAGCAATTCTACATAGAAATTGGACAGTGGCGTCTGGAGAACAAAAATCAAATTAAAATATGTGATCCAGTGTAATTGATAACAAAATCTATAAATAATTGATATCAAAATCGGTAAACAATCAATAACAAAATCGATAACAGTATCGATAACAAAATCGATAACAGTATCGATAACAAAATCGATAAACACTTTGGTAACAAACCAATAAAAAAATCGATAAAAAATATCTATAACAAAGCTACTTTAAACATCGCTTACAAAATCTATAACAAAATCGATACAAAATATCTATAACAACGTTGATAAAAATATCGATTATTATATCGATTAGTTCCGAAGACATCAATAGTAAAGTCGATAAAAATTTCGATAACAAAATCGATAAAAATATCTATAACAAAAGCGACAAAAATATCGATTATGATATCGATAAGTCCCGAGAATACCGCAAATCTCTAAAATCCCAAAATAGTTTACAGATTAAGTCTCTGTGTCTAAATTTACCTTTATTTTTGCCTTTATCTTTATGAAGCTTTATTTTTGGGTTTTTGTTTTTACCTTTGCTTTAACCTTTTCTTTATCTATGTGCGTACTCCCCTTTTACTTTCATTCTTGTAATCGGCTTTTTCCATGTAAGTGTTATTCTCTTACCTTTCATAAGCAAGTTTTTGTTAAATGCATACACTCAAGAAGCACTTGCTTCAGCCCCAACCATTTCCGTTGCACCATTTTCGTTAAATTTTCCAATTTAAGGTATCCACACACCTATGCGATTCTGTCGGTGTGAATCTGTTCCGACAAAATTTATAACAGTGCCGACCATAGTTATGCGACCACACTTATGCGATTTTGCTGCAGCGATTTATTCGAACATTCACAGGTCTTCTTTTGGTCGAGCCGAAATCGCAGACCCCGCGTTTTGAGAACGAAAAAGGTCAATAGAAGGATTTTACAATATGAAAACAAAATTGAACGTAAGAAAACAAAACATATTTGATGTAGAAAATTAAAGAATTTAATTTGTTTTTTTTTTCTAAAATTTTTGTTTGTCTATAAATTGACATTTGTTACTGCGATAAAATCGCACAGATGTGTGCGTACTTGCGTTTTCGAAGCAGTAACGTCTGTAGCATTCAAAATTGGTGCGGGTTCGTTACGGCAGAATCGCATAGGTGTGTTGATGCCTTTACTCCTGACCAACCAACCGCCGCTAAAGAAGTTTCACTTCAAAAAAAAGTTTCTGGTCAATGGCATTTAAAGCAGGGACCGCAAATAACGATTATCCTTTGAAATTTCAACTCAAAAAATCACGCGGAAAGAGAAATGCTACGAACATAAGGAGTAAACCAATATATTTCTTATTACTCGGAGTACCTTCAGCGGCACTGATTTTTATTTTTTAATTTTTACTTATAAAAATCAAGTTTAATCATTATATTTTGAGTTTTATTTTTTACTCAGAAAATAATCATTATGTTTTGAGTTTTATTTTTTGCTCAGAAAATAAAACTTAATTTTTGCGTATGCGTATGCGCATGCGTGAATAGACAGGGGGCGGCTGCATTGAACCTTTAACACCAGGGCAGAAACAGAGAGAACCACATTTCTAAAAAAAAGTGCAAAAAAGCGCATACGCATACGCAAAAATTAAGTTTTATTTTCTGAGCAAACAATAAAACTCAAGAAATAACGATTATTTTTCGAGCAAAAAATAAAACTTAAAACGTAACGATTATTTTCCGATCAAAAAATAAAACTTAAAACGTAACCATTATTTTCCGTGCAAAAAATAAAACTCAGTTAATAACGATTAAAAAGTAATTTTTATAATAAAACTTATAACCGTTATGGTCCCTGATTTAAAGTAAATAGGAAAAAATTATTTGAATAAACCTGATAGTTCAATACAATTCTTCTGAATTTGACCTTGGCATGACCTATAGATAACTATGAAGGATCAAGGGACGCCCATATTCGGATTCAGCTACAACAAAAACCTATGAACATATATGAATTTTTATTTTTATTGAATACATTATTTTCCTCAAATGAGCTCCAACCTGACATGATGTTGGCTAACAAACTTTGGGTTCGCATTCTGTTCTTCGAATGCCATAAGGATATAGAGGTTTGGTTCAATATGCCGAAACATTTTTTTTGTAACCATGTGATACTAATAAATTAGTTTGCCCTCACCTGCTTCGCTGAGTGTATGAAATAGATCAAAGTTCTAGAGATATGCTGTATTAAAAATTCTGTTCGTATTGGAGCTGCTACGCCCCTTTTTCCGAAATTCTGTGTTTACTAAGTTTAATACCCGATATGCTTTTATAACTCACTTTATCATAGTTTTACCGTTATCTCGAAAACTAGTCCGTCGCTTGTTGCTAATAACAATGTTATCAATATCTTTCAGAGGAGAGCTATTAACTCATTTTGTTTTTGATTTTGCAACAGTCATGCCAAGGGCCAGTTTCAGATGAAAGTTTAAATGTCACTTGCGTTTACTTTTGATTTTAGATCACCTTTGTTTTAATATGCCAAAGAAGTGGCAACGCTGTTTTCTTGTTCCTTGAATTTGTTTGGTATAACCACAGGCTTGCATATCTCATAGCTACATAAATTGCCAATATTGATAATTTAAGTGCACTTTAAATATATGATCTGAAAATGAATTTTTGAAGTTAATCAACAATCTCTACTTAAATAGCTCATCTGAAATTTAGCCTTAAACACCCATACTCACCGTTCGCTCTTCAAATTTCAGTAAGCGTACAAATTGCTTGTGATTATCGCAAATTAAGGCTACTTTGTTGGTAAACATCTGCACGCCATAGCCAGTTTTCAAGTTGAATGCCAAAAATGAACACATCCC